GGGGGGGGAGGGTGGGGGGCGAGGGGTAAACAGGAGAAAACAGAAGAAAGGAGGAAGGGAGAAATAAAGAAAGAAGAAGAAAAACAAAGACCTACTTGTCTCAAGTCGATGAAGGCCAGCAGCAGAGTGTCCCCCTGGAAGCCAGGCACCGGGCCGGCCCTGGCAAACCCTGTGGGAAAGAGAGACGGATAAAGAGAGCCGGGAATTTGCCATGGACAGGGAGATTGGCAGACGGATGACAGCCGGGACAAGGGGAGGTCGGGGGGAGGGGGAGTGGGGGGGGTCAGGGCAGCCCCCACCGAAGAGTCATGTCTCTAGGTCTGCCACCGGCTTTGTGTGTACTATCCAAAAACCCTCCCTGTCATCAAAACCTCATTAATTCTCACCAGTCCTGATCTGACACAAGAGGGATGGGGAGGGGGGGGGGGGGGGGGGGGGGGGGGAGGATGCTAGGGACAGGGGGTGTCTTTACACCCACGACCCAAACCTGGAGCTTATTCCCATGGGCTGTGTCCGGGTCCAGTGGCAGGACGGGGTGAAGGGGAGGCGTGGGGTTCGGGGTGGGGGGGGGCAGGCTAAGAAGGCTGGCGTTTGAGCTTCCCTTGGAAAGAACCGTAAACAAGAAGTTCAGTATCAAAAAAAAAAAAAAAAGAGAAAACGTTTGACACACTGAGACAAAACAAACTGAGCTGTGAAGAATCTCTTTCACCTCGCGACGCTGCAGCCTTTATCACCGCTTACAGGAATTACACGCCTGCCATCTTTATTTCTGACCCCAAAACTCTTTCCAGGGGTTGTTCTCTGTACTTGGGGCCTTTGTGTGTCCATGCACCCGTAGCGTTCACACAGCAATTATTTCTGCGCCGATCGGGGCAGATGGCAGCTCCCTTCACGTGACGGCTGTGTCAGAATTCATTCTGTAAAACCCCTAACCTCTATAGCACTTCGCCACCTAACATGCAAACAAACATCAAAACGGCAAGACACCGTGACCCCACGCCCCCCCCCCCCCCCCCCCCCCCCCCCCCTCGCTCCCTTTGGGCACATTGGCCATTGAGGGGACAGGTCTCTCTCTCATCCACTGCCTTTCCCAGCCCTGGACTTGAGCTTGGAACTTGCATACTGAACAGAAGCCTTAAGACTGGGACGGGTGGGGGAGGGCAGGGAGCGAGCGGGCGAGCGAGGGAAGGAGAGACGGCTCAGGCACTCATGCAAAGCACGGCCCGCACGGAGGGACAAGCTGATTCACAGTGCCCTCTGTGGTGCAAACTGAGAACTGCATCATACCGCCCCAACCCAAATATTAACAGCTTTTCAGAAGAATATTAAAGCATTGAACTTTAATTGCATTAAAGGCTGATTGATTGTATTAAATGCTGATAAAATATTAAAGTTAAAAAAAAAAAGATTACATAATGAACAATGAGAAATATCAGAGTCATGCTATAACGGTACCCCAGAGGCACAACAGCTAGAGTAGGGGGTCCCGGCAAGCATTACTGCACGGGGGGGTTGTGACATGGAACAGGCCAGATTTCATATGTTGAGCCATTTCTATTTTTTTCTTGATGCAATCAGAACAGACGAACATCAGGGGTAGTAATATATATATATATATATATATATATATTTAAATGGTTCATTTTCGCTAATTAGATGAGGTTGACAGCCTTGATCGAGAGACACCTGCCACAAAACTGCCCACAGTATGAACCAATGATCAGAACATGATGATAATAATAATGAATAACAATAATAATAAACAGTTTAAATTCCCAGTCAGCTTCAGCTATAAGCAGCCCCATTGTGAGCGCCCCGCCAGCGTCCCCCCCCCTCCAAGAGCCCAGACAGATTAGCCCAGTGATACATACGGCCGCAGACACATCATCTGCGCAATCAAGTGGTCACATCTTAGGGTTATTTTTGCTCTGCCTTAATTCCTCTGAACCCTTCCCTCCCACATGCGCCAACACTGCTGCTGCGGAACGGGGGGGAGGGGGGAGGCCATGCAGACACGCAGCCGTGCTCCGGGGGGGCGCTAAGCCCCGTGTCTGACCACAGCTTTACCTACTGACCTGACGGGCATTCTCAAAAAATAAAACTTTTGACTTTTGGCACAGTTGGAAAAACTTTTTCCTTCTTCTCTCTGAACGGCCTGAACTGTGATACTTGATCCAGTAGTTATCAGCTTGGTCGTTACACCAGACCCCAAACACAGCAATGGTGACAGACAGCAAGGCTCAAGGGGGATAATGCAATAATCTTACATAAAGCAAGCCCCTGACACTGAACCCTGAAATGGAGTATACTGTGCTCACAGAAAGTCTTGGCATGCTTGCCTAATTCAGTAAAAAATATTGCAAATTTAATGGTTTTATAACAAGAATCACTACTTCCATCGTTTATGAAAAATTCGTATCACACACCAGGGGCTAACAACCAGAAGTATTGAAGTAAAACATTAATTACAAGTCGTAATAAACTGAAAATTGTAGTTCTAAAAGAGTCGTTGCGAGTTAAAAAGTCCATAGACAATCAGTCCCATTGGGCGCTTTTTAATTAGTAACCTTTGCAATAACATGAAACACCAAACATTTGTGTTTGGGAGCCAGTGACTACAATTGCAATTAATAGCAAAATAGCAAGAACAGAACTGAATGAGACTCAAAAAATTATGACACTTAATAAAAAGGTTATGTCTGCGTGGAAGATATGCACAGATTAAACATGCTTGTCAATGGACCTTTGTTATGAAACCAGTAAATCTACAACGTTACTGCAGAATAAAGCAAGGGCCCCAAAAGTGAGCACTGTTTGTCACTGTTTGTCACTGTATGTCACTGTATGGCCTTGTAGTTACTTAGTCTAACCCACTTCAACTGTAGCCGGCAGCTTACCAACATCTAAAAGCTGAGCAATATCACAAAAAGTGGCAAAGAATTAGGTCAAATCCGCATTTTACATGCAGGGCTAACAGCAATGATGTGCGGCAGGGTGGGGGGTGTTAGAGAGATCGGCAAAGTCTGAAGGTGACGGGGAGGGGGGCCGGGCGGCAGGGCAGCAGACTCACGTTCACACTCCTTCACGTCGACGTTGAACTGGTGGAGCGCCCCCATGGACACCTGCCGGACGTCGGCCTCCAGGAGCAGCTGCAGCATGGAGGTGGAGAGGTGCTTGCAGGCTGACATGCAGGCCGTCTGCGCCACTTTCCCCTGCGAGGACAGGCATGCGGGTGCGTCAGCTGCAAGCCTGCGCTCCTCACGCGCCGCGTGACGCGTCCCAGGGCCGTCGCGACCAGACGTCCCCCAGCACCCCCCAGGAAACAACCAACAGACTGCGAACTTGGATGCCCGTCGTTTTTTTCCAAGCAGCAGTCGTTGAATGAAAATAACTAGTTTCCATTTTAGCCGGCATGCTAGTTGCAAAATTGTTCATGCTATGCTAGAGATCCCAAAATGACTGGTTTTAGTTTCTCTCAGTGTGTTAAGTATCACTTAAATCCCTTCAGCAGAGCGATCCAAGTCAGGAGGACTGCAGCATTTAAGGAGCTGGCCCACGAGTGTTGGAATCCTCCACACAATCACACCACAACGGAGGACATGGTTTTGGGCAACTTGGGAGCGACAACGAGCGCCTCAAACAGACTATTTCTCCCTTCAGAGAAAGTTTCAAAACTGTCAAAAGCAAACTGAACAGAGGAAGAAACAGTACCAGATGGTAAAGTGAGATTTGGCATTAAAAATGCCCATAGTAGAGTTACTTCTTGTGAGTAGCAGGCCAAAAGTTAAGCTTCAACTGCATTTATACAAACAGAAGAGCGAGAGGGAAAAAAAACGATCTGCACATCTTAGGTATTTATTCTATACCTGTCCTGGCATCAACCTACCTGTATGTTAATCTACTCTTAAAACCCCCCCTTATTTCATTTACTTCTAGGTGCACAGGGGAGGAACCAGAGGGGCCAGCCAGAGGGAGGGCAGGGGCGCCGCTAGCCCTCTCTGAGGCTAAGTCAATGCCCCGAGGCCCTGCAGGGGCGCCGCTAGCCCTCTCTGAGGCTAAGTCAATGCCCTGAGGCCCTGCAGGGGCGCCGCTAGCCCTCTCTGAGGCTAAGTTAATGCCCCGAGGCCCTGCAGTCACCCCCTATTATTAGAATCCCTGCTCCCTTTCCTCACCGCGCTCTGGCCCTGTCGACTCCCCGCTCAGGAAAGATCCATCACTTTTTCTGCACGTCTATGACCCTGCCACGTCTGCAGGAAAGCGCACTGACGCTTTCCATGCAAAGACAGGGAGGGGCCCTTCTGGGACTTTTTCAGGGTTTCTTGCAGCAATGGGGGAGACGGACAGCAGGGGGAAAGCAGAACATTGGAGAGCAACCACTTCTCTTAAAAGGCTGCGCTTCCTCCAGGCACAAATGCATAAGTAACCATGAAGACGCAGCATACTCATTGTACTACTCTTCAGTACTCCACAATGCTTTAGGAACAACCCTAAAGTATCAATCCTACTTTAAAATGAAGAGGACAATGTAACGTGAAACACTGATTAAACAAAACAAATCTACAGTGAACTGAAGGCTTACCGAGGACTCAATAGATCCAAGAAAACAGGCACATTGCTCTTCTTCATGAAGACAAAATCCAAGAGGAATGAAGGGAGGAAAAGACCAGCTCTTCAGAGAGCCTAACTCTTTATCAGGGCATGAAGAGCATCTACTTGCAAAGTGGTGACTTATATGTAATTTCCCTTCCCTGATGATTATTCTGCACTGTAATGAATTGCACCAGAGATTAAATCGCAAAATCCATCACATTAAATAAACCCCTTTTGTTTCCCATGCTAATCATATTCCGCCTGGCTTTGCCTTGCACGGCCCGTGTGATCAGGTTGTCCATGGGTTCAGCCGCCTTCCCTAATGACATTTGCCAAATCCTTTAGAGCCCTAAGCAGACCGCGGGCCAAGGTAATGCGAAGCGCAGAGAGCGACGTCCCATCCTCACCGCAGGAACCGCGCGGCCAAGCCGGCACCGAGCAACGAGGCGTAGCAGCAGAAGAGGGTCCGAGACACACGGACACATCAACCACATTAAAGTCTGCCGGCACCATCTCCCCCCTCCCTCTGGAACAGATTCAGTGAAAATTCATGTCAATTCCTCCTTTCTAATTTCAAGTTCCCATGTTTAAATATGCCTAAGAATGTGTCTGATGAGAAACTGATGAGGTGATGAGGCAAAGGGGCTTCAGAAACACCGGACAAGTCCACCCCCAGTCTCATAAACCTGCTCCTTCAACAGATACAGAGCCAGCAATAAGCCGCGGGAACAACTGGGACCGTAGCACCTGGCACAGCTGACTTCCGCTCGCTTCAATTACTACGAAGGAGCGAATGACGGAAGAAGAGGGGAAGTGGATCTCACTCAGGGACAATCATAATTACCCTAATCAATCTTGACATTGCTTTGATGCAATGTCTATTCTGCTCTTATTTAATAATAAAGCTGTGAAACCCAGGGGGGGGGGGGCAGAAAGTGTAGATTCACCAGAAAGACAGCAGCTTTCATTAGCGCCTGCCTGAGAGATGTGGGTATGTCACCCGGACCAACGTGCACCTCAGGACATGAAGCAATTAAGAAAGGAGGAAGCACATCAGTGATGTAAGCGATCTTACGTAACAGGAGAACGTGCCGTGATAAATCGGGAGGAATTTACCATGCATCATTTACAAGGACCAAGTCATCATATGGATTAAAACTGCATTAAAGCGGTTCCATCCAGGTAGGACCAGCAGAACTGCTTAAGCAGGATTGCCCGTTGCCAATCTTGCACTCAAAGTAATCTGTATTCAAGCGCAACTAATTTCAAAATCAGATCCACTAATTTGCAAATATCGACTTCATCCTGAGTTGAACATGTCTTAAATTTACTGAAATCTAACACACGTATTCCAATCAATTAGAATGTTATTTCTGCTAAAATACGGTACACGGATCAACCGTGGAAGCCATGGTACAGTCCCTCAAGGGTTTCTAATGGAGATGAGCCATGATCTGTAAAATAACAGCATACAATGCCCTTTGCTGGAGTATGATGCCATATATGTACAATCAGCTCAGCACTTACTGCGGTAACTAAATGATTATCTATGATTACACAAATACACTTCATCACCAGCGATTAAATAATAAATTGTTGTTTTCCTGCATGATTTTAATAAATATGACGTCATAAATCACTGGAGCAAAATGCTTCTTAACAATAAGATAAAAGATACAAGCGTCCTGTAAATGTCACTATAACCATAACGAGTCCCTCTTTTGAGCATTTTGGAGCCATTAACTAATGGTCTTGTTGACAGCAGACCCAACAGCAGCTCATGCTAAAATGTTGGGAAAGCTCAAGAAAACAACTGGGTAACACGGTTGACACAGTTGCGATACAATGGTCCCGGCGTTGGTGTCAAAAGAGCTGCTGGACGAAGATGAAGTGCAACAATCCCCATTGTTACTCGACGGTAATTCATCAAAATCTGATAGAGCTCCACTCTACCCATCCTGTTTGGGAAGGAAGTCTGGGAGTGAAGCTGGACCCTGTCTGTTGTCAGGAAAGCCGACTGGACAGTGCATCCGCAACTGAACAGTGGGACAGACAGACCACAGTCAGAAATGCTCAGATAGGCTACACAGAGGTAACTCAGGTACTGATGGCCATAGTGACGGACAAGATACCCAGGCTGGCAGTAAAGCATCGAATTGATCAATGGGAAGATTTAATAAGTTTACTAAGTTTTCTAATGTGATCAATCAATCAATACAGGCGAACATCAGCGGCCATGAATTTTACTTTACAGTAGAGCAGCGGTGGCCAATCTTATCCGCAAAGGGCCGGTGTGTATGCAGGTTTTTGGGGTAACCTTTAGGTCAGCTGTGCAAGCCCAGGTGTGAGGACTCCTCAGCCAATCAGTCCTCTAATTAGTAATCTAATTAAGGAGTTGCAGCGAAAACCCGCACACACACCGGCCCTTTGCGGATACGATTGGCCACCCCTGCAGTAGAGGATCTTGACCACTCCCCCATTAAACAATAACGTCGCTAAATCTTTCATTTATATATCTAGAGCCTGATGCGGATCAAACTGCTCATTTCGGGGGAATCCTGGTGTGTCGTGATGAAGGCGGGGGTCCCCAGAGAGATAATCGGGGGGGGGGCTTTCAGGGCACGGAGGAGGCAGACAGCTGGGGACGTGGAGGAGGACAAGTTAAGAGAAGGTGCTGGGGGCTGAGGTGATTGAAGAGCAAAGGGGGAACAGGTTTGTGGGGGGGAGGGGCGGATGAAGAGTGGACCGGTGCCCAGGGAGGGGGGCAGTGAGACTCACAGTAGCACATTTGTTTTACAGTTCAGGAAAGAAGCATGTTAACAATTAGCCTGGGGGTAATAGAGGGTAATGGGGGGGAGGCTGGGGGCGGGGGGGCCGGCTGGGGGGCAGGCTGGCCAGCCGCCTCACTCCCCTAATTAAAGAAAGCGCTCATCAAAGTGCTCATTAAAAAGCACTCAGTTGAGCAGGACTATGAAAATAAACAGGCATTAAAACAGGGCCTTCCGGGAAGCTGGGACAGGGGGTGTGGGGCAGGAGTGAATGGGGGTCCGGGGAGAATGCAGGGAGCCCCAGGGGCCGCGAGTAAGCATCGGCTGATAGAGATATCATGGGGAGAGCGCTGAATGCAAGCCTGACTGACAGCCGGGGCCCACTCAAGCCCGTCTTCTAAAGACTTCAAAATTAACTGCGTGCTACAAGGACAGAATCAGCCAGCCGCTCATGCCAGACACACAGCAAACAAACATGTGGCACTGGTGTCAGGAGGTCTGGGGCTCGGCGGCACTGCTACACCACATGGACACCTACAGACCGCAGTCCGTGCTGAGAAATTAGGACACCAGCCACACAGCCATTAAGGTCAGGAACACCGTAAAGCACAAACACTCACGTCCCGATCGACATGTGTTTGGACGTTATATTTACACGTGGAGGAACTCGGTCTGCACACATCTGATGTTCTCAGCTGCAGTGCTGCTCTTCACTAGAGGTGAATTATGTATGCTGACCTTACAGCACAGCCAGATGAAAGCACCCCGGGAGGGTGGGGGGGGGACGGGGGATGGAGGGGGGACGGTGAAGCTAGTCTTCATGAACAATATGAAGTATCACGGTTCACAGTAACCAGCTAGCTGAACAGACGTATGGCTGCCTTCCTCGTTCCATCTATTCCAATTCCTTTTAATCTTCCCAAATGATCCATCCAGTGTCAGATACCCTGGTCCGAATTCGACAGCCCTCGTCCTCACTGGGGTCAGTCAGTTCTGTGCTTGCGATCATTCTCCCACTGGAACATCCACAGCAAGCCTTCTGCACACCTTACTCACGCACCGCTGACATCTGGACTGCTCTCGCTTCCTGTTCAGCACCGCCTGAATGAAGTAACCACATTTTCTTACTACAAATGACCCCCCCCTCCCACTTCTGCCCTTTATTTCACCCAGTACAGGGTCTGCGCCAGCTCTACTGTCCTGAAGAAGCCTCAATCTGGGTTGCGTGTGAAGGCCGACCACAGCCTGATTGGGAACACAGCTCCAGACCTCTTCGGCTCCCTTAGTCAGAACATACGCTCTCGATCGTCAGTCCCCAAGCCCGGAATTGCTGTCCCCCCCCCCCGCCCCGTGGAAGAATGGTGACCCCATTCCGAGCCTTAACAACAAAACAAGGACGCCATCTTGACTTTGAGGCTAAAGCGATATGCCTTGCCTTTCACAGCATTATAGAATAAAACCCAATAAAGTTGAATAGCAGGCAGTCACTTCAAAAAGAAGACAGGACCTATTTGAGAACGTGTGTCACACTGGCAAGCAACCCCCCCCCCCTCTTTTTTTCTTGAAGCGGCAACATAGCATGTTAGAAGCTTCATTCTTGCATCCAGCATGCAGGCTAGACTTTTCCAGAAATTATTCAGACATTAAGAAATAATGGTTTACTAAAACCTCACTGACGTTTTCAGATCCGTGGTGGATCAGATCATCATGCGCTATTAATTACTGCTGCTTTATCCCATTTCCCGTTAGTTCCTTTGGTAGTTTCAGCTGGGTTAAACCACACAATTATTCAGACGGCACAGTAAATCGCACCCAAAGCATCGTCGCGCAGATCACTGTCTGGCCTTACTCACCAAAAAAAAAAAAAAAAAAAGAAAGAAATACAATCCCCACAAAATCCTGGTACGCTTGTTATTTATAGAAATATAGAAAGACACTTATACATCTTGTGTCAGCTGTTTGCATTAAAACCCAGCCATTCTGACCCACTCACAACAAGACCCCTGTTATCAGTCTGCGCCCAATGCAAACAGTACTCACCGACATGGTAGCATGTTCAATCACTTTCCCCTATAGGAGAGAGGGCGACAGGTAAAGTGTGTAGGGGTGACGATGTGTGGAAAACACTGGTATGCTGACCTCGCTACAAGCAACGCAAGCCCGTCCCACTGCGCGCGCTGTCTCACTGGCTTGCACTGCACACGCTACGGCCTCAGGTCCACCCTGATCTCCGTGTGGTCAGCTTTGTCCGAGGACAAAGTACAGCGTGGCTTTATACGGCTCCCGCGGCAGTTTGCTCTGCCTATAAACAGGACGTCTGCAGCGTGGAATAGAACTCTGATCTATTGCATCACGTGCAGATAAGTCTGCAGGCTGTTCGCGGTTTACCGCCAGAGCAGAGCTGCATCCTGACCCAAGCAACTGACTTGGAGAGGTCGTGAACTCCGAGACGAACCGTCTGGGACGGCATATCAGTCGCTTGTCGTGCGCGCCGACGGCAAAAACCCCCAGCATAGGGGTTCGCAGAAATGTCTGGCAGGGCAATAAAATAGTCATGGGGGGGGTGGCCTGGAAGTCTGCCTATACAGCCAGCCATTAAGCGAGGAGCGATCCAAAGTGTGAGCCGGCACTGCTGGCTGACCCTCTGACGATGCACAACAGCCAGTCCCCAAGGGCGTGTGCTTGTGCATGTGTGCTTCGTGAGTGTGCGGGGTTGTGCCCTCTTTGCATGTGTTTGCTATTCAATATAAACCTGCCAGGCACCAGTGGACCCCTCAACACATCCCCCCCCCACTCCTATAAAGCACAACTGGGGGAAGATGGGGGTTAAGCAAATAAATAAATAAATAAAAACCCAACATGCACATAATGTCAGCCAGGGTTGGTTTCTCCAGCTCCGAGGGCATACTTTCCTCCTGTGAGTGACAGAGAATCCTTTCTCCAGACCCCGGCAGAGGTCACCAGGAGATTTCCGAGATTACGCGGAGCCGGATCCTGGAAGTGGATTTCGGCACCGCTGAAACTGCCGGGCGACTTTGCCCTGTTACGGCACAGGGGTGGAGGACCCGCGGTGGGGAGCTTTTGGTGATGGACCGGGCTGAGCCATGGTCACAGGGTGACCCAAGGTCAGACCCTCTAGTCCACAACACATGGACACTTTTTAAAGTCTAAGCCCTATTACGTTACACATCCCTTTTGTTTCCATGCAAAAGCAGCCATCGTAAACCGCAAAGCCAACTGCCAGGCTCTGAGATCATCTGCTGCACTTGGCAGACTTATGATGCACTTTTAGCGCGAGTAGGTAGACGTACATACAGGTCTACCCTGGAGAGGCAGCCGACTCACGGGCAGATTGGTGAACACAGAGAAGGTGCTGCACAGGAAGGTGATGAGGTCGCTCAGGTAGTCGCTGGGCTGGCCTTTGGGCTGCGTCGCCATCCAGTCGTAATCTGCCAGCTGGAGAAACTGGTCAATTTTCTGGTTCAGGCTGGTGTAGATCTCCTCCTCAGCGGCATGACGGGCATCCTGCCAGAAAGCAGAATGATCAGCTTGTGTAAAGGAAAAGTGCTTCTGTACTCTGCTGTGTAACTAACACTTACTCCCATCCATTTACAAAGCTGAACGGCTGGGTTAAGCAGTCAGGAGTAAATGGCCTATTCAGGGACTCTTACTTTGAAGGTTGATGTGCCATACAGCTTGGTTGCATTAATAGCGTCAGATGGTACGTTGGTAATGTTGGAGATGAAACCTTCAAGGAAGTGACAGGACTGTTCAAGGTGGGTGGTGTTGATGATGATCTGCACCAACTGAGGAGGAGAATTTGAGATCACAAATGAACTTGCCTGTAATCATCATATTTCCCAGTGCCACTAGTTCATAATGTTTTTTGGACCTCATGAGAAGCACCCCTATTCCTGAACGCTTGTTAAGAATCCACAGCACTATGAGGCACCCTGAGCTTAGGTGCAGCCAAAAGAGAAAGAGGCTGCAGAAGCCAAACTGCACACCAAGCACTGTTCCTCACTGCCGCACGATGGGAACAGCAGATGGTAGACACCAGTCAAGAGGATAAAGTGCAGATGGAGAGGCATAGACAGTCTGGGGCACGGCGCCCTCGAGACCTGAGGTGTCAGAAGCTGGAACAGAGCTAATTCAGAGCAGGCCTCTCTGTGGGTGGAGTCACAGTACCCTCCGTGGGGGTCTCTGCTCCCCCTTAGGCAACTCTGTCTGACAAGGTGGGGGTGAGCTGGGAACGTGTGATATTAGATCTGCTACAGAAGCTACATAAATTAATTCCACACCCCATACAGCTAACATACCTCTGCCCAGACCCAAAAACCTCTCTACATTGTTTTCCTACTTATCCCCAGTCCCTCACAGGTCTATTTCAGGTCACAAGCAAGAAAGGAGAAGCTTGTTGTGTTCCCTGAAGAAAAGAGAAGGCTACAATGTTGCTACCTGCAGTGGGAACTGAACATAATAGGATGGCGACCCGCATTAATAATCACCTCTGCAAGGCTCACGTTCTTCTTCTTAATGGCGTACTGAAGACAGTTGCTCAGGGTTCGAGTGAGCAGGAGGTTGGTGGACTTCCGGATCATATCATCTATTTCTGAGGAACTAAAAACAGGAAGGTTGTGTTTTACTATACATCTCCTAATTTTACCATCGATATATTCATGCATTCATACATACTCCAGACATTGCCTACATTAAAGTGATTGTTAGTATCACACATACATGAACTGTTCTTCAGAGGGATTTTAAAAAGTCTGAGGTCCTGGTAGCATAAGCTAAAGACACATTCTTAGTCCGTGGTCCTACTTCATATGCCGCCCCCAGGCCTCCACCCTACAAAAAGTTTTAATGAGCCGTTAAGGGAGTATTACTGTCTGGAATTTGTCAGCTGTGGCAGACTTTTGTCATGACTGCAGAATTGTTCCTCCAGTTATTGTAGGATGAGACATACAACAACATCCCCAGTCTGGCTCCAGAATTTACAATGGATGCCCACCAAAGGATGGCAGCAGGAGATGGATTTCATTGCCAGGTTGGTGGTCTCTGCTCATTTCTATAATCGCCTGATGATACCCTTCGCCTGGCGAAGGTTAACATGGTGGAGTTAATGTATTTTACCATGTAAGTCAATGTCTGACTAGATGCTGGGTAGCAAACACATTCCTACTAAATTGCCAAATTGTCTTTGTGTTGAGAGGCCATGGAGGAATTCATAAACTTCACTTTGGAGAGAATTCTTTGAGACAAGTCTGCAGACTTGGCCCAGCTTTGGGACACACAAAGAGAGCAAGAGAAGCAGATCGTTTTGGACAGCGGTAGATAGACTTGGACAGCAGTAGAAGTCAACGCACTGCAGTAGTCCCTACATTCCAACATAGAGCAGAAAAGAAGGTCAACCTAGGAGCTGCAAGAACAAAACCAAAAAAAGTAAGGTTGAGATTAATTGCTGTGCTACGAGATGTCCGTCTCCTTTCTGGCAGGGCTGAACTGCAACGCTCAATTTACCGCAGAGTCTTTCAATTTCCAGCAGGCAAATCCATGTGGTGCCTACATAAAAAATGACAAGAGGAAACGCCACCCATAACTTCTGCAAGTGCTAGCGATTTAATGTCAAATTACTACTCTGAGCAGAACCTGCATATCAAGATACATTCTGCTCCCCATTCCAGCCTCCTGAGTGCTGATTACTAATACGCATGCCTGAAAAATGCTCAAAAATGATGAGCGTTGGCAGGAAGAACAAACAAAGTGTGGACTTCAGGGACCTCATACTTCTTCATCAATATTGGCGGAAGGAAAGGATAATCCGGTAACAACGCTGTACAAGAGCCCAGAATTTCTCCAAGGGTCAGCGTAGTGTAACAGAGATGACCATCCAAACCATGTACGGACCGGACCAGGACCTAAATAAAAGCAAAAACATACCACTTCTTAATGATTTCCATACCAAGACGCGGGTTGCCTAATCGTGACAGCGGAGGGAGCGCGTATCCGGGTGTCAAGCTGACCTTTGGTTAGACACCCCGTAAGGCGAAACAATGTTACCAACACAATGCCAGCGCTTTCTTAACCCGTATCTCATGTGCTGAGGAGAGGGGTGAATGTTGAAACTAAAATTGCACAAGGTTGTCAGTCTCCTTAAAGGGAAGCAATCAGGAAATCGTCTATGTTGTCCTTGAGAACTCTCAAGCTATGTGCCAAAACTCTCCCTGCTGTGGGGGGGGGGGGACCTTTATAGCATTTATTACAGATGTCAAGCACTGATGTGGGACTGATTTTAACTATCGGATTATCTGATTATTCATTCGCTCAGTCACTCATTCCTGGCTCCCATCAGAAATGGGAATCCTGGGAAATACGGATCCCGGAAGGGAGGACCTTGGGCCAAGAATTCCTGGAAATCAAGAGGGCAATTTGGCTATTAAAGAAACAAAAACACGGTTCAATTTTTTAAAACACTATATATTTATATCCTCATCGTGAACACATCTTTATTCTCTTATTTACCACTTACATAAATAATCCTGTCTGATTATGCAGCATTTATAAACATTAACAAAGCTGTCCTAAAAGATCAATCTGGCCACAGAATGTAATGGTCTGCTTGAATCAGATTTCACTTCAAATGAAAATCTGGGCAATGCAGTCTGGATTCACTTCACATCCATACTGTATTGATCATTTAATCATCTGACAAATTATTTTAACATTAGATTCACTTGGAATTACAACTGTGATATGGATGCAACTGCAGGCTCTTTCCATTATCTGAAGCCCGCAATTATTTTGCACCTACTGAGGAACTCCAAGACACAGCTGCTGCTTCACTACCAGCCCAAACAGTAAGCGACAGTCGGCCCACAGGCCTGCTTGAGTGATTCTTTTTTTGGAGCGCAATGGTAGGAATACATAATGAGGGAAACTTGACCCAAGATCTTAAAAAAAAAAAAAAAAAAAAAAAAAAAAAGCGATTAGGGAAGAGTACAATGATTGGAAGCTCATTTTGAAATGTTCTGCTTGAACGAACAGACAGAATTTAAATGTTTCATGCAAAGTCTGGCAATTTTGATTACTGCGTCAAAGTCTTGACAGCCCCGATTCACAAGGCGGTTGCTACAACTGACTGAAATTGTTCTGACAATCTTCGTCAACACTCAAACAAAGAAAGGACAAAACTGCTATTGTGCCATCTGGAATGTCATGAGCTTCCTCACTCCATCAGCCTGTCTTCTCTGTGATCAACCACTACTCTGCACTTGTCAAAGACCCAAAAACCTTTGCTGAAATCTTTCCATCTGTGAAACACTTCCAGTCAAATTGCGAGTCCCAAAAACAAGGGCTAACTTGCTACACAACATTATGGGAAGTCGTAAAAAATCAACAGGTTCTTATTCAAATAGAAATCCAAGTATACAGTTATGGACATTACTAGAAGAAAAAGTAGAGGCTATAGCTTAAGGATTTGAACTACTGGTCAGTGGCTATAAAGTCATAATTTAGCAAACCCCTGCTATCCTGTTACATGGTAACACACCTTCCTGCCAAGTTCTGCCCGTGTCCATGACCTGGCGACCCCCATCCCGGAAAAGGAAGGCAATCGGCGAGCTCCTTAAGGTAACCGGACCTGACAAGTTACACCCAGAGACCGAGGCTGGGGACAGCAGAGCGATCCTACTTCAAACGTACCCTGTAATGGCAAGATGGCAAACGCTTCCCCTGGCCGCTGCTTAATCAAGCCGGGTATCCCCAAAGACCCGACCGGAAAGCAAAGCGGGAACACTGCCATGATACTCCTTAGAAGAGTGACCTTCGGATCTCGGCTCTGACCTCTGCTGTGATTGGGGGGGTTTAGACTGAGGATCGAATCACCTCTTGCCACCGTCTGGGCTTTTGCACAGGCTCTTAAGCTCCGGCAACCATGTTTGCAGAAATTTCCGCATGCAGACGGATGGAAACGTTCAACAGCCAGTCAAGCATACTGAAAGAAGGGCAGCCTGTTCAAACACCTCTCAGCCTGACTGCAATTTGATATGTCAAGTTGTTTGGTTGTTCATGCAAAACAAAGAGAACATGTTTACCTTGAATTTATTCACTTATTTTAGTGAAAAAATGCCCCTGAGGAAAAAAGGGCCGCTTCTCATCGCTGACCCAATGATGAAAGCAAATGAGCATCGTTCACTGCGAAGTATTCCTTCATTCATGACTGCAACCCCTGAACACAATTCACCAGTGTTCAAAAACATGCTCCGCAATTATGCTGGTCTTCTTCAAAACGTTCTGCAGCCAAGTCATTTTAAAAAGAGATGAACAAACAAACCAACTTGCACGGGGCATGTTTGAAAACCGGTGAAGTATTCGCCAAAAAAATAAATGAATAAAACAAAACATGGCTGGACAATGGAGGTCCACAGCGAAAGATCCCGTTGCGAAAATGTATTTGTAGAGAAAAAAAAATGTTTTGATTACTTCATGCTGCTATCACTGTATTCCTTCTGGCAGACATACGCTCGTTATATTTCACCTTGTGGGTCACCAAGTTTAAACAAATATTTCAAATATTTTAAATATGTGGTCATTTCACTTGCAAAAGACAAAAAGTGTCATCAACTGCTCCAGAGATCTCGGCTGTTTACCTACCTACACATCTAGTGTGGAGTTCAAAAGTCCAGGGATGTGTGCAAATGACAGGTAAAGGACAAGAGACAGCAAGAGAGAGATGTGCAGAAATCATGAGTAAGAGAAGACGCAAGCAGGTCACATGTCCCTCAAGCGATTCACCTGAGGTGCAGGTCCTCGGAGAACTTTAGGCAGGCGTAGATAAACTCCTTCAGCTGCATGTAGACCTTGGGAACAAACCCAGAGAAGGGCACCTTCTTGGGGAAAGCCATCTACAGAAGACAGGCAGCTTGTCAATTAAACATTTCCTTCAACAACAAGAGATCAATCAATCACAGGCTCCACTCTGACCCACCTTGTCCAGCTCAGGATCATGGAAGGGAAATTGTCCCAGAATGCACCTGTACTCCTCCTCTGACACCACAGAGATAGGACTGTAGTTGTCCTGGTCCAGTATTTGCCTAAAAAGACCAAAGAGCTCCCATGAGAGTGGGGCAGAGCCAGGGTACCGGATGCCCGTCCTGTTCTGTATCTTCTCCAGACTAATGAACACTGCATTCTTACGCAGCATTCTTTAAATTGGTTGCAGGGATGGAAAACGGGTTCCATGATTGATGATGTCTGAAGATGCCCCACATAATGACACACAATCAGTACGGAGGAGAGGCAGACATCTATTGCAACATATCTTTGCCTTGAAGTGAGAAGTTGATTCAGGCAGACAAGAGGGTCATAAGAAGCAAACCAATCTGCCTCCCAGCTCAGACACCTTTGACAGCGCTAACTTCATTAGCATTTAGCACAGTCCTTTCGGTAGCTTTCCACATTACTAGACTTTTCCTTGTTCAGTCCGACTCCAAGAATGCCTGAAGATATGAGCCAAAGGCTCTCGACAGAGATCAGCTGAGATATTAAGAAGGTCATTGCAGAATACAGATTTAATCAGCTTTGGACGATCTCAAACATATTTATTCGTTTTCTTTGGAAACTTTAAGGTGAATGACTTCCACAACAGATTGACGTTTCTCGCCACTTCCGAAATCTTTTCCAGCTAACAGAAACACAAGCGAATAATATTTATTCAAAAGATATGCTTTAATTTTGCCAGCTGATTGTACAATGCACTTTTATCATAACGACATTTGGTTTCCCTTCAGCACGATGAATTGTTTCATACTGTGCAAAAATGTGCGAATGTGCACTGTGCAAACAAATCACAGAGACAGGGGGTCACATCCAAAACCTTATCCCCCCCAAGCCGATACTCATCGTCCTCCCCACCATGCATTTCGGAAGGTAACTGAATCTACCTAACACTTTTTCCAAGTCAACCGACATTGTACAATCCCCCCCACAGTCCAAACCATGAATGAGTTTGATCCAGAACCCAGCAAAGTGTGGATGACTTTACCACCAAGTAGCTCACAGTCCAACTCGCCCGCCCCCCCCCATGACACCTTGCAGCCAGTGTTAACCTAACGCCACAGGGATGACATCACATGAAGGATGGTGCCCTCTTGCCCCGTCTGACCTGAACGTGCCATTCCACTTCTTCAGCAGGATCTCTCCATACTGGTCACGGATCTCCAGCAACATATCAAACAGTTGATTGACAGGGAATCCGTAGCCCTGTAGGTACGCGTCAAAGAGAAGGATTTCACACACACACACGCACAGAAATGCAGATTATCGAGGGGGCGCGCAGATCCTGGGGAGGCTGCCTCACCTGCAGTGTGTCAGCAAAAAGAACAATAAGGTTCTTCAAGTCCAGAAGCAGGTCGGGGTCGGTGCAGTAGGACTGGAGGGAGAGAAGGATGGGCAGAGAGCAGATTTCCATAAAAGCAGGCACAGGGACTGAAGCACACCTTCCAGCCAACAAGGACATTACAGATATTTACGAGAGACAACATATAAAGCCTTTGAAATATTACAAGGGGTTTAGCTCAAAGGTTAGGGGCTTAGCTAAGGGCTCACGGCTAATTATATGGAATCTTCAGGCACGCAAGGTAGCACTCAGCTTTCGTCAGTAGTTACCGAGTGTGTCCGCAGCGCTGCTGTGGTCTTGGACAGCGCCAGCTCCCACAGCTCCTCCACATAAGCCCGGTTCACCAGGCCTTGAGTGGTGTGTAGAACGTGGTCTTCCACCACAAAGAACCTGCAGGAAGACGGGGGGGGGTAACATGAGCGTGACGGGGAAGGAGAAGTGAATGGGCCTTTCAGAATGGGCCGTCAACACAGCTACTCAACGTGAGAGTCATACATCCACAGCAAGAACCAAAGCTGGCCTACTGGCTTCTACAGCGCCACCTAGAGGTCTGGAGGATAAAGACTCATTTGTAACCCAGGACTGCCAGTGCAAAACATGGGCCTTTAATTTAACATACAGACAGCTCCCCCCCCAGCAACTGTTAACTTTCTGACTGTTTATGGCTATAGGGAACAGTGACCAAACACGCAGTCACAGTCCCCGGCGAAAGCCCCTGCAGCATTCCAGCAGGGACGCCGCGTGAGGAATGTTTGCAAAAGTGAGGCTCCAGACACAAGGACATTCCCAGCATCTCCATCCAGACACCAGGAACAACACGGGTCCTCCACGGAGCTCCCAGACTGCCATAAATCCAGCAGAGAGCGCCAGTTGGCGGGCAGAGTGATGGAAAAGGATAGCAGTCTCATCTGTAATAGTTTATTTAACGCCCATCGCAAAACCAGTCTTAGTTTTTCAGCTTTATATGTCAAATGGACTTAACCTGAAGCATCAAGACTATACACATAATTGAAACGTAAATATGGGTAATTATAGAAATAAAGACAATTGGTAAATGACAGGGGAACATCAGCAGTTTTCATGAATGCATGGAAAGCTGAGGTTTAACAGCAAAGAGGGAAGCAGAGCTTATTTTGGCAAAAACAATGGCTTTCGACGTCCTTCCCGAAAAGTGGCTAGACATCACATTAGTAATGAGACTCTCGAGAAGGGGATCTCAATAAAGGAAAAACACCTACCCTACTATCTGATTGAAGTACCTCCTGTACCCGTCCAGAGTTTCGTGCTGAAACGATAGAGACACGTGAGGATGAAGGGGAGGAAGGGGAGGAAGGCCAGACGGCGGGACCGTTACGGCAGGGGGGCCCCCTGCAAGCCGGCGCACACCACCTACCATGTTTGAGTGCGGCTGCAGCACCAGCCGGGCCTGTTTCCGTCTCTGCTTCCTGTAGTAGCTCTCGAAGGTGTCGCGGGCACCCTGGAAGCAGACGGCAGGAGTACACTCAAAGCGAAAGCTGGGAAAACATGTATATTTAAGACCTCCAATCTCAGAACAGAGCTCCAGAATCAGGCCTCTTTCACATCTGGGTTGTGTGACTTGTCAGATGTTAGGAAGGACTGTGCCACCCTTTGTAGCTGTATCACATCAGGATACCGAGGGCGTCCTGCTTCCGTCTGGCATCAGGGCCCTGGATGGGCCGTCCAGCGATGCGCCTTATCGCCTGATTCTGACCAGACTCAGGCCAGGAGTCTCCTCCAGCCCAGTGATAAGGCACCCAGAGCAGGGCTGATTGCTGCCACGCTACCACTCTTACGCACTAACCCCTGCTTCTCCACAGGTCACAAAGGCACATAACAAGCAGGGTAATAAAGTTTTTTCGTTTGGATTTTCTTAAAAAACAAACAGGCTGGGCTCTCCTTACAGAAGACTTCTTGCCCGTCAAAGAAACAATCTGGTCGACATGATTCATTCTTCCATACAATAACAGGGCGACTCCTGGGGGGAGCCACTGGCAGCTTGGTGACAGACTAACTTCTCCCAAATCCCCATCGCTGTCCCCGTCAGCATGCGTTCCTGCTGCCGTCGTGACCTTCACCACCAGGTCCTTCCACTTCCTGCCACGCAGGCCTGCTTCCCGTCAGATAGGGCCGCACTTGGAGCTGGACGCTTTACCACAGGGTCACCGCCAAGCCAAATGTGCCTGACCGCCACAACCTGAGAATAACCCTCCCCCCTGCACTGGAGTTCAATACTGGAAAGCTGACGCTAGGTCACTCTCACTGGAACTGGGGGTGAGACTCGCTCATAGAAAAGGAACATGACCTCAAGACGGGAATCAACAGAGCACAAACAAGACCTCCCTTTGTTTTTAATATTATTATTTATTTTTTATTTTTTTTTTAGAAAGTTTGATCAGGCCAGAAGTTTGAGTGTGGTGGGAAATGGGAGAACTGGGTAGGTAGGGAAACAGGAATGGTGAGACCAAGAGAGACAGAAGGCAAGAAAAGGTGGAAGAGATACCATGAAGACTTAAAGGCAAGCACACTGCTCCCATTTCAGAACGATGCCTGCAAACCTGGACAGCTTTCGCACTTCTGCAGGACGACGGCGGTAATGCTCTGGCTGTAACTCACAAAAGTTTTTGTTCGGGTTTTCAGTTTATCCTCGAAGGGAGCCCCTGGGGGGGGGGGCTCTGTAGGCGAGTCTACATTGAGACCGATCACGACTCGACTCAGATTCTTTGACACTTACAGAGTAGCATTGTTCATGATGCAGATCCATATTACAGCAACATGGAGGAATTTAAACACAGGCTGAGGTAAAACTGTGCACTGGGAAAACAAAAAGAGCCGCTTGATTGGAAATGGGATTCCAGGTCCGGACTTACAATGAAAATAAATGGAGCTGGTCAATGGAATTGCCTAATATCAAAGCAAGAGAGGGCTCCAATATACCCAGTTAGGTTTCCAATAGGATGCGAGAGGCTTCCAGAGGATGGCAGGTTTGATGCCTGGTCCATAACTGCAGATTGGGGGGGGGGGGGGGGGGTTTCCCAAAAAGCAGAATTTACTATGAGGACATAGACTCAGATTTCAGGACAGGATCGTAAGGATCGTCAGGTCTCTTTAAATCTGGACCTCGATTGCAAATCCAGGCCTTGTTTTAAGTTCTCCCTGGTAGTACTGTAAGGTTAATGGTTAATGATTCTGAGGGGCCACAGAGGCTTCACACCTGGCTCACAAGTAAAGGAGGGCTGGAAGATCAGCAGGGCTCAGACCTTGAGGACTGTGATTTGAATTGCCCTGGTCTAGATTGTAGGTGACCGCTGCTGGGGAGACTGTCCTGAAAGCCCAGCCTCCATTTGAGGCAGATCCTTTGTTTATGCAGAGAAGACCTTATACTGACCCAAAAAAAAAACCAAAATTCAGCAACTGAGCTAACATGACAAGTGACTTAGAGGAAAAGCGTCTCTTATCCACCCAGCCTTTCCCTTGCAGGCCTTGTGAACTGTGTCTGGCTCTCCACAGCCTTCCTGTCACCCTGGAACGGCCTTCCGCTTCTCCGGCCGGAGCCCGGGGTTAAGCTCTGCGTGTCCGTCTCCATGTTCTACTCACTAAATCGCTTCCAAGTGCTACCACAGATGTAGAGAGCTGGCAGAAGGGCTGAGGGAAGGAAGACACAGGTCACCTCATTCGCTCGTTTGAGGAAAGAAAAACACAGACTCAAGTAGTACGTGTTCTTTGTTGTAGAGCGGTCGCGGGGTGAGCCAAACCGTTTGCAGGAAGAAACAATCGCTTTGCTCTGGCGCTTCCCTTTCTGACCTCGCGGGCTTCAAAACGAGGCCGGCCGGCCCGCTCTCACTTTCGCCGCCTTTGAAGGAGCACTGGGTCATGAGCGGGAGCTACAATAGGGCTGGCAGGCCGCTTCCTGTATGCGCCGTTCTCACTGGGAGGCAAACAAAGGCCATTGTGGCACAGCCTTCACACGTACGGCCTGCCATGAGGTCACAGATCCCAGCCTCACTGTCACCCAGTCACACGTGTGAGCGTAGATGACATTCTTCCAGCTGCGCGCATGACAAACGCCTATGATGTACCTCCATTATGCTATGGACCAATCTTCCTTGCGATCCAAGTACTATTCCAGAATTCATGCCTACTGGAATCAGCATAAGCAGTCCGCAGCAAAATCTGGCGGTATTATCGGAATGCAGTCGTTCGCCGGAACACCGGAGAGTAAGGATGTAGAAGCCGAAACAGCGATAGATTTACAGCTGGCCCTCGGGTCCTCTTGTTGACACTGAAACCAGAGACCCTTGAACGGCTCCCAAACAGACCTCGGAATCGAGGCCCGGTTCGGGCCCACGGATCAGTGTGGCCTCTCTGAGCGCTTGTTTGCTTGGACTCCGCCATCCGCGGGATGGAAAGAAACCAGGAGGCGGTTAATTGGGAGCCGAAAGGAATCCTGATGCTGTCAAATTACACCGGCTGGGAAATCAAAACAGTGGCCTGCTCTGCCATTAACCGCACGGCCGCGTTGGGGTGACCACACCTCCATGGCGATCCAGAAAACGGCGTTAAATTCCATTCCTGCAGGTGCTCTCCTGGGGAACTGTCAATCAAAACGCACAAACGGACTCCAAGCGCTGAAGAGTTAGACACCCGAACGCCAAACCAAGTAGCAGCTCTAGTACACGAGTATGCACTTAAAATACAGACAGGGAAAACAAAGATGGCAGACAGAGGGTCAAAGACAGAGAAAATGATCTGAAGTAAACAGTTCTTCTGCGGTCAGAGCTCACATCGCCTGATCGCTGGACCAAAGGTAACGGATGGGGAACTAAGGAAAGAAACATTCTCAGCACCAAATGGGGGCAGATTTACCCTAAATCCTCAAGAAGGGGATGGGGATTTAGAGAACTTGGTGCAGTCTGAGTTCCTAGCAGGGATAGTCGGTGCCAACAGACAAAGACCAACCGGCTACCTATTAACCACTAGCAGGCCTGGGCAGTGAGTGACAAACGCAGGAACTGCCATGTGCGATGGAGTGGATGGGGGTGACTCACCAGCACTGTGTAGATATGCAGACAGCGATACACAGGTGAGAAGTCTACAAGCTCGTGAGCTCCAGGTACCTGCAAGACGGAGACACAGAGACGTCAGCGTGCCCTGCAGTGAGATTGCTTCCCATCCCACGAGCCTCCTGAAGGTCTTCTGGACTGGAACTTACTTAACCTTGGATCCCCCCCCCCTTTAGTCCTTAAGAATAATAAAACAAATACTGATAATTAATGTTATTAAAGTAAAAGCCCATCAAACACAATAATATTCCACTTGCAGAAACACTGATAAGCAAGAACTGTTTGTTTCCTTTGGAGAGATATTTGTTAATGAGAGAGATTTAATAAAACCTCCTGATGTTTTGATTGGATGGCTGTGTCCCAGCCGTTTATACATCCATCCCCCCCCCCCCTTCTTGGTTTCACACTTTGGGTTGGTCCAAGAGCTGAACCAAATAATCTGAATATACACACAGGCAGACATTACAAAGAGTGTACACACACACACACACACACACACACCCACCCCCCAAAAAAAAATAATAATAAAAAAAACAGGGAATGATGCCACATTCCTTATTACGGGAGAAATGTGATACACAAACAAAGACTCTGGGGGTGAGATTTTTTTATTTAAAAAACGTGAACGCCGTGATGTTTGTATTGCGCTCCACTGGGGGGTTATTGTTATATTATTCTGATTATTAATATTCTGAGTTCATTAAGACACTCTCAAATCTCTGGCAGGGCCAGACGTGTCGAAGATGACAACACCGTAATCTTCTCCAGAAGAACCATTGTGAAGAGCATAGCTTTTTTGATCTACTAAGGGTACCAGAGAGGTTGGGGGGAGGGGGGAATCTTGCACTTATGCAAAGTGATGATAGTATCAATCTTGGCTTGAAGAACATCTTTGAAGGACGATAACAGTTACCAGCAGGGCTAAAATGTAGAACATCCACATAGATTGAAATAAGCAACATCGCTTAACAATAGCATTCCATTGGCTGAGAACACCCCCACCTCACTCTGGGTGCGTGCCGCGTGCACTTTCAGATAGGAGACTGCTCGCCTCGTTTCACATTGACCGCTCACCGGGGAAAGGATTTCGGGGAATGCTGCTAGATCTTTTGTCATCTCTGCACACTTACACTGAGCTCACATCTACACTGACCGCCTGGCAGGAATCTATTCCCAAGAAAGGCAGCGGAATAATCCCCCGCTTTCATCTGGCGGCCGCAGAACAACAAGAGTGGCGAATAATAGGGCAGGAGGGCAGGCGGGATCGGGGGGGCGAGGTAAAGAGGGACGGCGAACAATAATAACAAGGGTCGGGAGTAACTGCAGAGCGAGCGGGAATGGCTGGAATGTCAGGTCCCCTGCCACTGGCTGCCTGTGTAAACATGGCCCACCGCACTGC